AAAAAAAAAAAAAAACCACAACAAAAAACAAATAAAAAAGCCCGAAATGATTTTCCTGGGTGCTCCAAAAATAGTTTTACATAGTAGCAAACTAGCATCACTGACAGAATTTGCAAGAATTCCTAGTGTCAGCTCCACCAAGAAGACTGCATCTCATTCTGCTCTAGTCATTATTCATATGGTATTTTGTTTTACGGGGAAAGCCTTGAAAAAAGCCCTACTATATGTAAGAATTTAATTTATGATAAAATTGGCACCAGAAATTAGAGAATTATTAAATGAGTAGTGATGTGGACACTGTTGACCATCTAAAAAAACTGATACTTAATTTTCATTAAAAAAACCGACTGCTGTTGAGTCAATTGTGACTCATAGTGACCCTATAGGACAGAGCAGAACCGTCCCAAAGGGTTTCCAAGGAGCGACTGGTGGATTCGAACTGCCGACCTTTTGGTTTGCAGCTGAGCTTTTGACCACTGTGCCAACAGGGCTCCTAATTTTTCAAATTTCAAGCATGCAGGTCTTCCTTCAAAGAAAAAAAAAACTCAGAAGACTTGAAGGTTAAGTTAATATATGTTTATTTTAACATTTCTTATATTTGTTAAAAATACGTATAGACTCTGTTTACAGTTCTCACACGATAAAAGCAAAAACATTTACAAATTAAATTAAAAAATTATAAAACCAAGAAAATGCAAATTAACCAACTTAATGTAACAAATGATGTTACATTTTTATGTTTTGCTCAAATAAAAGAATGCTTTGCTAAAAAAGAAATCACAAGTATTTGGTTTAATAGCAAAAAGCTATACTTTTTAGATCCCACATTGTGTTCTTAAACTGTTTCTGAATTTTTAAAAATTTTAATAATGATGAGAATGTGTCTTCACATCTTGTCCACACTGGTATTGACAAATTTAAGTCTTTTCCCTCTCTGGAACAGAAAATTAACCAAACCTGCCAAATGTCAGTCCTCAAATAGTAATTTTAAAGAGGTGTGAATTGGTAAAATAAAAAAATTGACTTTATTGAAATCTGCATTAATGACTATTAAATCCAATTAATTTTAGAATTTGAAACATTCCTTACTATTTATTTGCTATCATACTTATTGCTAATGAACTGTGTAAGTTACTCTGTATAAGAATCTCACTAATACATATGGTACTGACTGTTATGATACAGGCATTTTTTGAGTAAATATAAGACACTGTAATGTCAAAAACCAAATCAGGTATATTATGTGTACAACAGCAGCACATCGCCATTTTTCTCATCTTTATACAACCTCTGTTCTGCAGCTTCAACAGTTTTATTTTTTTTTAAATCAGATTTTAATTTTGAATACTTAACACTGTTGTTGATGTGCATTTCACTTTCTTCATGTTTACTAAGAATATGTGATAAATGCTGCCAATCTCTGCACCCATTCTCATTCTTCAGTTGATTTTTTCCTTCCCCAAAGAGTTTGCAATATAAACAAAACACGGAATCTTTTGAGGTAGAATAAAGTAACCAGGATCTAGTGGTTTTTTCACCATTTGGAAGAATTCGCGTATAATACGTTTCTGAAAACTTCCTCCCTGTATTGTCTTTTGGAAAGTTAAAATTTCTTACTTGAGGTGGATCATTTTCAATGAGAGTGCCCCACTGTTTAATATTCAAAATTCGGGGCCATGTACCTGGATCTGCAGAAAGTACAACTGGTATAGTTGAGACTTCTGATTTTTTCTCTTTGAGTTGCTCTTGAAATTTACCAGCTATGGTTGACATGGAGGAAGAAGGTACATTTACATCCTTTTTGATCAGTGATGTACCTGTGCTACAGTCTACTGAAACCTGTAGCTCTGAAGTCTTTTCCTTTTTTTCTGGTATTTCATCTACTTTTTCCAAAAATGTATTCAATGATCCATATAATATTCTTTCACTTTCTTCTCTAACAGCATTTCTTTTTCTGTTTTCTGATGCTGATAATTTTTTTGATTTTGTTTCCATCAACTGGGGAAAAATTAGAATAAATTACTACTTTACCTTAGAACAGTTAACATTCAAATTCTCGATAACCAATGAAAAGATGTTCAACATCATCAGCCATCAAAAAAATGCAAATGAAAACCAAAATGACACAGCACTTCACACTAAGACGTTTATAATCAAAAAGATAAACAAGTATTGGCAAGGACGTGGAGAAATTAGCAGGGCTTCGGACTGCTTCAAATCAGTTCACTCATGTCCAAGGAAGCGAAACTGGAATAGACCTGAATTTTGAAAATTTTGGTGAGCTGGAACAGGAAAAATTATGGGTCCAAGCCCTAGAATGGGAGACTTGGAAGAGGTGTAGTGAACCCTTTCATAAGCCTGATGTGGAGACTGGATTATTGGCAGGGCTGTGGAGAGTGATACACATTGAAAGCAGTGTGGTCAGTTGCCATCTTTGAGCAAGGCACTGCTCCTCAAAATCCATATGCTGCCCTTGTTTTCTAATAAGGAGATTAAGTTTTTACCAGGGTTTGGACCCATAATTTTTCCCATTCTGGTTATCGTTCTGGCTTACTGAAATTTTTAAAAATTTGGGTCTATTCCGTATTCCGGTTTCACTTCCTTGGCCATGACTGAACCTGGAAGAACCAGTTTTAAGCCCTGAAAATTAGATCCTTCCTATAATGCTGGTGGTAAAGCATTTGGCTGTGAAACAAAACGTTGGCAGTTTGAATCCACCAGACTCTCCTTGGAAACCCTATGGGGTAGTTCTACCCTGTCCTATAGGGTCGCTATGAGTTGGAATTGACTCGACGGCAATGGGTTTGGTTTTTTTTTCCCATAATGCTGGTAAGAATGTAATATGGTGCAGTGACTGTCAAAAACAGTTGTTCCTCAATAGTTAACGATATGATGAGTGGCGCTTGGGGTCTTAAAAGCTAGCGAGCGGCCATCTAAGATACATCAATTGGTCCCAACCCAACTGGAGTAAAGGAGAATGAAGAACACCAAAGTCACAAGGAAAGTATTAGCCCAAGAGACAGAAAGGGCCAAACCAGAGACTGCATCAGCCTGAGATAAGAAGAACTAGATGGTGCCTGGTGACCACCAATGATTGCCCTGACAGGAAACAGAACAGAGAGTCCCTGATGGAGCAGGAGAAAAGTGGGATGCAGAACTCAAATTCTAGTAAAAAGACCAGACTTAATGGTCTGAGACTGGAGGAACCCCAGAAAGCACAGCCCCCAGACTCTCTGTCAACCCAACACTAAAACCATTCCTGAGGCCAACTCTTCAGACAGATTAGACTGGCTATAGGACGTAAAATGATACTCGTGAAGAGTGTGCTTCTTATTCTTAGCTCAAGTAGCTACATGAGACTAAATGGGCAGCTCCTGTCCAGAGGTGAGATGAGAAGGCAAAGAGGGTCAGGAGCTGGTTGAATGGACATGGAGAATCAAGGGTATAAAGGAGGAATGTGCTGTCACAGTATAGGGAGAGCCATTAGGGTCACATATGTATGTATAAATTTTTGTACGAGAGACTAACTTGAACTGTAAACTTTCACTTAAAGTACAACAATAAAAAAAGTTAACCATATGACCCTTAGTAATAAGAACCATGACACAAATAGACATATGTACACCCATGTTCACTGCAGCAATATACACAATGACAAAAAGATGGAAACAACCTAAGTGCCCAACAACAGACCAATGGGTAAATAAATTATGGTACGTACACACCATGGAATACTATGCAATGATAAACAATGATGAATTTGTGAAACACCTCACATCTGGAATCCGGAAGGCATTATGCCGAGTGATTCTGGAATTCAGATTCTGGAATCTGAATCTACAGGGCATTATGCTGAGTGAAATAAGTCAGTCACAAAAGGACAAATATTGTATGAAATCACTATTGTAAGAACTCAAGAAAAGCTTTACACACAGAAAAAAAACATTCTTTGATGGTTACAAGGATGGGGAGCGAGGAGGACAAGAAGTCACTAGGTAGATAGTAGACAAGCGTCAACTTTGGTGAAGGGAAAGGTAACACAAAATATAGAGGAAGTCAGCAAAACTTGACCAAAGCAAAAGTATACAAGTTTCCTAGACACCTCTGAACACCTTGAGGGACTGAGTTGCTGGGTCTGAGGGCTGGGGATAATATTCTAAGGGGGATATTTAGGTCAACTGGCATAACACAGTTCATAAAGAAAATGTTCTACATCCCACTTTGGTATCATCTGGGGTCTTAAAAACTTGTGAGCAGCCATCTAAGACACATCTATTGGTCCCATCCCCTCTGGAGCAGAGGAGAAAGAAGAAAACCAGACACAAGGAAAATATTAGTCCAAAGGACTGAAGGAACACATGAACCAGAACCTCCACCAGCCTGAGCCCAGAAGAACTAGATGGTGCCAGGCTACCACCACCAACCACTCTGACAGGGATCACAACAGAGTTCTGGAAAGAAGGGGAGAAAAATATAGAATAGAATTCAAATTGATGAAGAGACTGGAGGAACCCCTGAGACGATGGTGCCCTGACACTCTGCTAACTTAGAAATGAAACTGCTCCCGAAGCCCACTTTTCAGACAAAGATTAGAGAGTCGTATAAAACAAATAACAACACACGTGAGGAACGTGCTTCTTAGTTCAATCAAATATACAAGATCAAAGGGGCAACTCTTGCCCAAAAGCAAGATGAAACGGTAGGAAGGGACAGGAACTGGATGAATGGACACAGGAACTTGGGGTGGAAAGGGGGTCATGTTGTGGGGGTTGCAACCAATGTCACAAAACAGTACGTGTACAAACTTGTGAATGAAAAAATAACTTGAGCTGTAGACTTTCACCTAAAGCACAATTAAAAAAAAAAAAAACCACTAACATGGGGAAAAAACCCTGTACATTTATAAAAATTGCATATTATATGGAAACATCAGTTCTGTATTTGTTAACTGTTTATAAGCTATTTTTGCATCGCTGAAACATGCATAGTGGAATAAGTAGACTTTATTCTTAGAGTTCACAGTAGCAGGCAATACAGTTATCAAAAAAATTCTGGATACATGGTTACTACCTATTCTGTGTACATTTCCCCATTTTTACTTCCTATTCTTCTAGGAGTAATAACTTTATAATTTTTGTGCAGGCCTTATGCTTTTCAGAGAATAAGCATTGTATTTGTTCATGCTCATTGTCCTTAGGAAAATTTCATAGCCTAAGGTGGTGCGGTGGTTAAGAGCTTGGCTGCTAACCAAAAGGTCAGCAGTTCAAATCTACCAGCTGCTCCTTGGAAACACTATGGGGCAGTTCTACTCTGTCCTATAGGGTCGCTATGAGTCAGAATCGACTTGATGGCAATGGGTTTTTTACGGGAAGTAGATAGTTAAATCACTACCCCCCCAAAATTCTTATCCAATGAAACTGGGGCTAAGAATGTTCCTGCTTTTCTGTTTAGAATACATCTTGAATTAACTCTGTGTATGGAATGAGATGGGTCAAGACTCATTTATTTCCATACAAACAAAAAAATTGTTCCAGAAATATTTGTTAAAAAGATCTTGCTTTCCTTATCAAATTACCTTGGTACCTTGTTCTAAAATCAATTGATTGTGTATGTTTGGTTCCATTTCTGAACTGGCTATCCTATTCCACTGATCTATCTGTATATCCTTATATGCCATTACCGTGACAGTCTTGATTACTGTAGCTTTATAGTAAGTCTTGAAATTAAGTAGCTAATAATCCTTTAACTCATACCACATACAAAATTAATTCAAAATGTATCGCATAAGAGCTAAAACCAAAAGAACTTCTAGAAGAAAATATAGACAACTATCTGCATAACCCTGGTAGGCAAAGATTTCTTGGACAGGACACAAAAAGTTATTAATCAGAAAAGAAGCAAATAATAAATTGGACTTTATAAAAATTAAAAACTTAGCCTTTTCAAAGGACAACAGTGAGAAGACAAATCACAGTTTGGGAGAAAAATCTTTCAAATACTTTTATTTTACAAAGGCATGTATCCAGAATATATAAAAGATTCCTACAACTGAATAATAAAAAGACAACTCAGTAAAAAAAAATGGGATGAAGACTTGAATAGATATGTCACAAAAGAAGATAAAGCGATGAGAAGGCCTTAGTTACCAGGGAAATGCAAATTAAAACCACAATGGGACAATCATATCATATCTTTAGAATGGCCTAAATCAGTAAGACTGACCATACCAAATTTTGGTGAGTATGTGGAGCAACTGGAACTATCGAACTATTGGTGGGGGTGTAAAATGGTACATTCTGGAGTTTGGCAGTTTTTTGTAAAGTTAAACATATATATGCATATATACCCTGTGACCCAGCAATTGCTCTCCTAAGTGTTTACTGAAGAGAAATGAAAAAAAAAACAAAAACAAAAAACCTTGGGTAAAGTACAAGAATATTAACAGTAGCCTTATTCATATAGTAACAAACTGCAGCAGCCTAAAAATCCATCTATAGATGGATAAACCAATTAATGGTATTTTCACACAATGGAATACCACTCAGCAATAAAAAGAAACGAACTATGTAACACAAATGAATCTCAAAAACACATGGTAAATAAGAGACGCCAAATACAAGAGTACATACTTCCTATAAATTAAAAATAAAAAAAAATCATGTAACTTCATTTGTATGAAGTTTAGGAATATGCAAAACTAATCTATGGTGACAGAAATCAGAACATGGTTTCCTGAAAAATTGTGGGGGAACGGTTGGGGATTGCCAGGAAAAGAGCAAGAAAGAACTTAATGGGGTGTTGGAAATGTTCTATATCTTGTTTTGGGTTATACATGGGTTTATGCAATTTCGTTAAGATTTGGGCATTTTATGTAAATTATACCTGAATAAATGTTGACATTAAAAAAAAAATTCCTGCGTAAGAATCTTCTCCTACAACCCTGTTACTCTAGCTACTTCTATCACAGCAAACACTAAGTCTAAAAAACATACTCAAACCCAAGATAATCTATAATACAATTCCTAAAAATCTGACTCCATCTGATTCTCAAGATAATTTGAAAGAAAAATCATTCTGCTTTAAGTTCTGTAAACAGTAAACATTTTAAACAAGCTTAATTGCGACAATCGATATACAGTCATGCGTCGCTTAACGTCCATAATATGTTCTATGAAACAGGACGTTAAGTGATTTGGACGTTGTGTGAACAACATATGATATACTCAGCAGAGCTATATGGGATATTGTAGTGTACCTGTATTGACTAGATAGCCAAGATACTGTACACATACAGTACTGTATTTCAGCTAATGTATCTGGCAAGGTAATATATGGGTTCAGTAGGTTAATATTGTACAATACTGTATACATAATAATACATTATAAATATACACTACTGTATACAGACTCACCACTCACTTTCACATTATGCAGCGAAAAACGTTGTTTGAAGCGCATGAACCACCCAGAGCTAGCACTAAACTCGATATTGTAGTCTGGTCCTGCTTTTTCTTTAAGCATCTCGAACAAGCTTCGTGCCTTAGCAGTGATCGTCGATGTGCTGAGTGGGATTTGCTTTTGTGTTTGGTCCTCAATCCATGTCATTAGCAATCTTTCCATATCTGATATAGGCCCCTCTCGCATTTTCGTTAGCCTTGTAGCTTTCAGTGGAGCTGAACCTTTAACAGCTTGGAGAATTTTTTCTTTGTTTTTGAGGATCGTAGTGATTGTTGAGTGCGACATGCCTAAATCGCGAGCAATAGCGTTCACTGATTTTCCACCTTCATGTTGTTTAATGACCTTTTGTTTCACTTCCAAATCGATACTTTTCCTTTGCCTCTTGCTGCTGCTATTACTAGCACTGGTTTTGCTGCGTTTGGGAGCCATGATGCACTTCACGGTAACATTTTCAAAAGAAAATTAAACAGAGAGATAACGCTACAACACTTAAGAGAAGCGCGATACACAAGATTGGATGCTGCTGCCTACAAGTCAAAGCATACACTGTTATATGGTATTTATTTGTAAATAGGGAAAGTCCGCATCAAAATAATGATAGAAAGTATAGTACATACATAAGCCAGTAATATAGGCATTTATTATCATTACCAAGACACATATATATTATAGGTTATATATGTACTGTACCATTATACGCCCGGCAGCACAATCACTGTATACAAGAGACGTGAGACACGCGTGCTGCGTGCGGGAAGCTGTTGCGTTCGCTACGTCCGGTTGCGTCCGCTATGTCCCGTTCTCTGATCAGGATTTTGAACTCTATTATAACCTTATGGGACCACGGACATATACGCGGTTGGACGTTGCCCCAACGGACATTATACGGCGCATGACTGTATTTCAATGCTCACTTGAGATGGGACAGCTCAATGATAGAGAGCCAAAAACAAAACTAAATAAGATTCTGAGATAAATCTGGTTAATGTAAGACAACGAGATAAAGCTATTGTACATTTTATCATTTAAAGCTCATTAAAAAGAATTACCTGTTTATATTCGCTAACACAACTTTGGCAGCAAAATCTCTTCTGCTGACCTTCGATCATCAGGGCATTGTTTCCAACATTTTTAGTGGGCATGTACTTCCCACACTGTTCACAACAATTCATTATTAGACCATTGGCCAGTCTGTACTTATTAAAGCAATGGTTACTGCAGAGTTTATGAATTACATTATTAATGCCGACTTCATGGCGAATCTAAAAGAAAGAACAGATAATTTACTAAATAAAAAACAGGAACCAGATCAGTATGGTAGGTAATGAAAACAAGTTTCTTCAAAATATACAAAGAATCCCTAATAATTTCTCAGTGGAAAAAATATCCAGGGAAGAAGAGATTTTAAAAAGTACATTTTGTTATTCTTTCAACAAGAGGAAAAATAAGATTCATAGAAGAAGCAATAAAATCAATAAACTTCCCTAGAAACATTAAGAATGACAGATAACGGACTGGTTTCGGTAATTTTGATATGGCTTGCTTAAAAGAAAGACTAAGAATTCTTAGGATTAAGAGTATTGTAAGTAAAATTCACTGTCCTCAAAAATTTGTCCCAGGCCCTAGAGGGGCTAGGGGAATTTATAATATCCAATTCAGGATGTCTGTGTATATGTAAGTAAGGTGGACCTCACTGCACAACTCCATGGTAACTGAGATAAAACTGTGTCCTTGATTTGCACGGCTCTGTGGCAGTGAAGACCAAATTCAGTTATAAGGACTAGGTAAATGGAGTATGCATGTATCTTCTCTCAGCAATCGTGAAGATTGCAATTCCACTGAAGTAATGTGAAATTATCAACCTATGTTCACTCCACTTGTTCCACATGTTCTCAAGACAGTATTTGTTGCTTCCTTCATGCAGTAAAACCACATTTTTATTTAGTGCTACTGATAAGAATAAAATCCACCATAAAACTATTGCCTTATGAGTACATGATTCACCAGAAACAAATGTATGCTTTCTATACCATGCAAATAGGATACTTGTTTAAGATTTTATCCTTCCCTTAAACTTCACTGTAGAGTCATCCTATTCTGAACATGTGCATGTGGATGGCAGAGCATACAATGGCATTTAAAGTTAAAATTATCCATGTTAGCCTAAATAATAAATAAGGTATAAAAATGCAGACCTCTGTTAATTTATTACAGATTGTACATCTTGATTTATTCAGAACTCTTTTCCTAAGATTCTGTTTGTCTTCACAGGGAGACAAAGATGTACTATAAAATTCCTGGGAGGATCTGTTCGAATCCACTTGAGCAACAGCAGCAGCCTTCTCTGTAGGTGCATCTCTGAAATATAAGGCATATGAACACAATTTAAAAACATTCCATATTAACAGAAATCAAATAAATGAACAGTAAGTGGAATTTTTCATGATTTAATCCTAGGAATCAACTGTATTTATACGTCTTGTAAAATTGGCTTTTTGGCTTCACTGCCAAGAGCTCCTAAATAATACGGAAACAAAGGATTGCGAGGTAAAAAATCGTTCGTAGCTCAAGAACCTTGTCACATTCCAAGTCTTAAATTTTTATAAACATTCAAAAATGTTGGTAGCAGCTTGGGAGAACTGAGGTAGAAGGTGGAGCTGAGGTCAGAGGAAGGCAAAAAGCAGTGATAGTGAGAGGGTCAATTTAGTTCCATATTTACTCTATTTTTCTGCCAAGAGTAAGTATAGCACAAATGAGTCCACAGCTCTGACATACTCTGGGATAACTCAAGCTCAATAAACTTGAAGGCAGCCCTGAAACAATTCTACCAACTTTACAATTACATTCAGAACATTAATGTACGCCACCAATATTCAACCACATGGACCCCTGTTGAAAGGTGCATCTTACGTTTTACACATTGCACTGCGTTTCTTTGGAGCACGTTTATGAGAGAAGGAAGAAAGGCAGGTGGTACAACAAAAGAGGTGAGCTGATCCTTTTCGTTGATAAGCTGTCTGTCCCTTCTGTAAAGGTTTTTTGCAGTTTGCACAAGTGATTTTAGCTGGTTTAGTAAGTTGTTGTTGGGGAGAAGGCTTGAAAATCTGCTTAGGAAGTAAGGCCACTGGTGACAAAGAATCCACCCCTGGTTGTTTCTGATTACGGGGAAATGATGCTGACTGGGAGATCCAAGAATCTTAAAAGTAAAGCACAAGAAAAAGTCATGGAACAAATCCAAATTCACATCAGAAAAATACTTTGAACTTTCATTTTGCACATTTGCACTTTTTTGAAAGACTAGTGAGGCAACAAGTATAAGAAGTGGTTAAGGACAGGCAGCCTTGTTGACAATCCCAGGGGAACTACCCACTTTGAAGTCCAAATGATTGGCACTCCATTGTGCCAACAACGTAAATAGTGGTCCCTGAAGTTGTGCAATGCAGTAGCCACCAACTCTTAAGTCAGACTCCCCAGGTTCAAATCCTATCTTCTGAGTTCACTAGACTGTGCAAGTATATTAAACTCTGTGCCTTGGTTTTCTTAACTATGAACTGGGGAATAATACTTAATTCATCAGTGTTATGAGGAATAAATGAGATAATGCATTATGGCTGGCACATCAAAAAGTACTGGCCACTTGTTCTTGACTAAGAGGAAAATATTAACATATTTATAAAATAAAGCAAGGCATATCTAAATATATAGACATCTATAGCAAAAGCTTGGCTATCCATAATCCTTGAGGAATGTGATATTCTGGTAGTTCATATATGATATCCATTTCCATATCAGTATTCTCCTCCAGCATTTTATTATGAAAAATTTCAAGCATAAGCATACAGAGAAGTTCAAAGAATTTTTTAGTGACCACTCATATATACAACAAGTTGGTTCTATAATATATTACTACTTTTGCTTTATCACATATCTCTTGATCTTTCTGGGACATCCATTACATGTCCTTTCACCAAGTCTTGTAAGGTTCTTACATCTCCTTAAATAAACAATTTTTTATGTATTTCAAGGTAAATTATAGACATTAATACACTCTACTCCCCAAAACACTTCATCGTGCATATAAACATAACATCATTTTTTTTTGGTGTGGTAAGTATACAAGTAACAAAAATTTGCCATTCCAATAATCACAGGTACAGTTTGCTGACATTAAATATGTTCTTATTGTTCAATCATCACCATTAACCGTTCAACATCATTTTAAGGCATATCTTTCTGCAATTATTTCCCAACCTTCTAAAATATTATTTCACAGGCATTACTACATGTGATAGGTTACTCAGGAAAAGTTCAGCTTGCTAGATTTACATAGGGACTGCTCCATCATATATTATTTTTAGCTTCAAAATGGTACAGTATCAGGCTTAGACAACATTGCTTCTCAAGCTTCAGTATACATATGAGAACATTTGGGAATCTTGTTTAAGTGGAGATTCTAAATCAGCAGGTCTGTAGAAGCCCTGAGATCGTGCATTTCTAACTAGCTCTCTCGTGATACTGAGGTTTGGGAAATAGAACCTTAGAACACAGAATTATTCTGGACTCATCCACTTGTCACTACTTCATAGGCCTCTCACAATACTACTAATACTACAACCCAACCCTATTTTCATTTCTCTATCTCTAGTCACTGCTTCTAACCTTCTTCTATTTTTTTTTTTAAAACTTAGAGGCAAAAATGAAACAGAACAAGCAACAAACATGTTGGTGAATCTGAAGCATATTCAATACCATTAAGTACCCAGAGAGGAAGTTTCTTTGTTGTTAAATTTTTCTGGTTCTCAACCATGCCAGTAGCCTAATGGTTTCTAAAGGCAAATTACTGAATAATCCAGGCTTTATATGCCCCCTCCAAAAAAATCCCAAAGAAAACAACAATTACATATTCATCTACTGTAAACATATTACATTCTGGGATCAGAATTTCTCTACATATTACCTGGATAAAAACTAGATGTAATAAATAGGGGAAATAAAAAATAGCAAACCATTACAAAATTCGTCATTAACATTAATATGGGAAAAAATCAAAAACTTGAATACAAAAACATTGTGCTGTGTACATACCCATACTTACTGGAGGCATACTGATATATAAATATGCAAAGTAAGATGTCAACTATACTGCTTAAGACAAATCTACTGATTCTGAATTTTTTTCAATTTAGCTTTGTTGCATACTTAAATAAGGTTGGTTGTTTCTTTTGTCTATATTGCAACTATTTTCTCCAAATTACAAATTTTCTTATTTCAAATTTTAATTTTAGTATAACATCTCTAAGTTAAAGTTAAAGACATCTTAAAGGAATTCTTCCATGTCCCACCTCCAGAATAAATTTTAGGACCAGAAGGGACCCAGTTGATTTAGTCCACATCTGTCATGGAAATTAAGACCTACAAGTAAGGTGATTTGCTCAGAAGTCCAGTAAGCATGAGAGCCATTATTTAGCTTTCAGGTGTTCTTTGTTTCTCCTGTTATCGTCAACCTTCCATTTGAAATATTCTGCCTAACTAGTGCTGGTCTGCTGGTGAAAAGTTCTCCTGGTGTCTGTGTTTTGTTTTGAGTTAAAGAATACACATAATGTTTATAAACCGTAGTGTAGAATCAATGAATTTAATTGCATGACAACCACCCAGATAAACATACAGAACATTTCTAACATCCTAAAAGCCTTCCTTATGTCTCTTCCCAGTCAATAACCCCATTCCTAGCCCCAAAACAACCATACTCTGGTCAATCACCAAAGGTTACTTTTATTTTGAACTTCATATACATAAAATCAAATAGAATGTTACCTTTTGTGTCTAGTTTCTTTAATGCTCCATCTTGTCTGTGAAGTTCATTCCCATTGCACGTAGCAGTTTTCTTCCTCATTGTGTGGCTAATACTATTTATCCATTCTACTGCTGATGAGTATTCAGATTGTTTGCAGTTTTTTACTTACATGAATAAAGCTTAACGATTTTTGTATACGTACTTTAATGGTTTCTTATGTATTTACCTGCTTGAGATTTGTACAAGTTCTTCAATTTGTAGGTTAAGGTTTTATATTCATTTTAGAAAATTGTCAGTTGTACCTCTTCTGCCCCACTTTCTCTTCTGCTCTTTTTGGGATATAAAGTGTACGTCCCTTTCACCAAATCTCCTTGGTCTCTTACGTTCTTTTCTGTTTTCCCTCCTATTGTCTTGCTATGATTCAACCTTGATAAAATTTTCTGACATATATTATCAGTTCATACAAATCCTCTTTAGCTGTGCTCAATCTACAGTTAAATTGTAGTTTCTTAAAATTTGTGTCTGATAAACCTATTATCTAGATCCTTTATGGGCTTATTTCTATTTTCTGCCTTTTTTTTCCTCTTGATTTTGTCACGTGGCCTTGCCTCTTCATGTCCCTGGCTTTTCTTTTTTTTTAAATAACATTTTATTGTGTTTTAGGTAAAAGTTTACACAGCAAACTAGGTTCTCCTTTAACAAGTTTTATACAAATTGTTCCACGCCATTGGTTACAATTTTTGCAACGTGTCAGCATTATTATTTCCATTTTGTTTGTTCTGTTTCCATTGATCTAGCTTCCCTTCCCCTCCTTGCCTTCTCTTTGCTTTTGGGTAAATGTTGACCCTTTGGTCTCAGATAGGTAAGGGAGCACATTACTCACAGGTTATGTTTATTTAAAAGCCAATCTATTATCTCGTTGAAAGCTGACCTGCAGAAATAGCTTCAATCCCAAGTTCAAAGGGTATTCTTAGAGCCATAGTCTCGGGGGTTCCTCTAGTCTCTATCAGTGCAGTAGGTTTGGCCTTTTTTAGAAATTTGAGTTTTGTTCTACATTTTTCTCCCATTTTATCCGAGACCTTCTATTGTGTCCCTGTTCAGAATGGTCAGTAGTGGCAGCCAGCACCATCTAGTTCTGATTTCAGGTTAGAAGGCTGTGATTCGTATGGGCTATTAGTTGGGTGGACTAGTTTCATCTTTGAGCCTTTGATTTCCTTTTTCACTCCACTCCTGGCTACTTTTTACTACGTTATTTTCATATGAAAAATTGCAAAGAAGCTTGAGGCTCATCCCAATCCAAAGGTTGCAAGGTTTTTGTTTTCTTTTTTCACCAGAGTCCTTCTTTGTGGACCCCTGTCTGTTTAAAGTTCTGCTCAGCTTCTAAGCCTCTATGAGCAGCCTTTTCTGGAAATGAAAAGGATACTCCAAGGAGAACAGCCCCAAGTACTAGGGTGACCTCTCTGGAGCTCCTTCTCTCTGATCTTAGAACTGTAATTTTTTCATTGTATTTGTATCTGACAAACACCTTTCTTCTAATTATTTTCAAAAATTCATTGAGTTCCCCTTCTCCCCTAGGTAATGGGATTACCTAGTCTGTTCTCATCAGAAGCGGAATTCCCTAGAACCAGTATATGGCCAGAAATGTTTTTAACGCAATAAAAGTACCACATAGATGAAAGAGCAATTTCTAAATTTAGGTATTTTTATTGATGAGTTTCTCTTTACTGCTTATGTAAGGATATGTGAAGAATGAAGCAGTTTCACTGAAAAATAGGTAGGCAGCTGCCATTAAGAAGACTCAGACTCATGGCAACCTTTTATACAACAGAATAAAAGGTTGCCCTGTCCTGTGTCATCCTCATAATCACCAGCATGTTCAAGTCAATCATTGTGGCTATTGTGCCAATCCATCTCACTGAGGGTCTTTCACCCCTGCTGACACTGTATTTCACCAAACATGATGTCTTCCTCCAGTTACTGATCCCTCCTGATGATGTGTCCAAGGCAAGTGAGTTGGACAATGCTCTATTGTGATCCATAAATCCCCCTAGCCAAGAGTCTTTTCACTTTAACATATTTTTTAATTGTACTAAAAATATGTATCACATTTAATTCAACAATTTTTACATCTATAATTCAGAGACAGTAGTACACTTATCATGTTGTGCAACCATTATCACTATCCTTTTCCCAATTATTCCATCACCATTAATAGAAATTCAGTATCCCCTAAGCAATAGCTTCCCCTTTCCCCTACCCTCCAACCCCTGATAAACACTAGTAAGCTTTGGTTTCTATACATTTGCTTATTTCATGAAAGTGAAATCATACAGTATTTGTCCTTTTCAAGTTATTTCGCTCAGCATTAAGTTTTCAAGCAACAGAACTTCATTTCTCTTTAC